ATTAATTTAGAAAAGATATTTCACAAAATACAGTAATACATTCTACAAAAAAAAAAACAACCACTCAACAGAGTAAGAATAGAAAGAAATTCCCTCAACATAGTGAAAAGTACATATATAAAGCCAAGAGGCAGAGTCATTCTCAATGGAGAAAGGCTAAAAACATGCCCCTTGAGGACAGAAATTACATGAGGATGTCTACTATCATCACACCTCTTTGATATTTTTTTGGAAGTACTTTTTAGGGAAATAGACAGGAGAAGGAAATATTGTTAGAAAATGTTGAGTCAAGTACCACCCAAAGCAACCATACAAACAACAAATCTGGATCCTGTCCTATCCTGCGCCATCCTCAAACTTCTTGATACACTAGCACCCATTGCAGCAGTCACTGTGTCAATTGATCTTGTTAAGTCTTCCTCTCTTCTGCTCATCATCCACCTTTCCATGTATGATGTCCTTCTTCAAGAAACAGCCTCTCCTAGCAACATGCCTGAAGTGCGGAAGACAGCTCTTTATCATCTTTGCCTTCCAAGAAGCAATCTGTCTGCACTTTCTCCAAGATATATTTGTTTCTTCTTTTGGCAGTCCATGGGATATTCAGTACTATTTTTCAACACCATAGCACAAAGGCATCAATTCTTCTGTCATCCTTATTCATTGTCTAGCTCTCATATGAATATCAAGTGATAAAAAAATAAAATAAACCATGGATGAATCAGATTCACCTTTGTTTTCAAACTGACATCATCGTTCTTCAATAATTTAGAGAGGTTCCTGATTACAGACTTTCCCAGGGAAATGCATCTCCTGATTTTCTAACTCTAGTACAAAGAGTGTTGAATATGGATCCAAATAAGATGAAATTGTTAACTACTTCAATCTTCTCTCCATCTATCATGAAATTGTCTATCTGTCCAGTGATAATTTTTTCTGTTTTTTTATTTTTTTGTTCTGATCCACACAGTCAAATTCCTTTGATAATCAATAACGTATAAAGAGACATTCTTCTGGTATGTTCATAGCATTTTTATTCACAATAGTAAGAATATTCATACAGCACAAATGTCCATAAACAACTAATTTTCAAATGAATGGATTGAGAAATTGTGGTATATTTACACAATGGAGTAGTATGCAACACTAAAAATGAATATTTTTGTAAAATACTATTACTATGGGAGCCCCTAATGAGTATTATGCTGAATGAACTCAGTATTACAAGGGGTCTTACTGCATATGATCCATTATTATAAAAATAAAAAAATAACTAGAAGGACATAAATGTACAGAAGGGGAAATGGAAAAGGGAGAAGGGTGGTTATCACCAGGATAGAAGAGTTTAGTGAGTGAATGTGGGGTACTGTGTAGCAACAGGAAAGATTCAGTTTTTACTGGAAAATACAGAGTAATAAGAGGCACAGATCAAAGTACCTAACTATATAAAATATTCTCATCACTGGGCCAATTGGCAACACTATGTTAGAGAGAGAAGAGATTGAGGTTGTTAACAATTTTAACTTGTTAATTTCCACAATCAGCACTGTTGGAACCAGCAGTTAGAAAATCAAGATGAATAGCATTGGGGAAATCTGCTGTCAGGGACCTCTCTAGAGAGTGGAAGAGCAATGACATCAGTCTAAAAACTAAGGTGCCCTTGATCCAGTCCATTGTCTTCAAATTATTTTCTATGCATCACAGAACTGGATAATAACTAAGGATGACAGAAGAATAGATGTGATTGAGTCGTGGTGCTGAAGAAGAGTACTGATCATACCATGGGCCCTCAAGGGAACAAACAGGTCTACTTGGAGGGGGTGAAACCAAGTTTCTTCTTGAAGGTTAGGACTTTAAGCTCCATCTCACATACTTTGGACACATTGCCAAGAAATTGGAGAAAGACATCATGCATAGAAGGATGGAGGAGCAGCCCAGGAGACGAAGACCTCAGATGAGATGATTTGACACAGTAACTGAGGTTAATGGGGTAGGTATGTCAGAGTCAGTGAGACTGGCTCAGGATAGTGCAGGCTTGTGAGCTGTTGTACATGAGATGGCTATGAGTTATGAGAAACACAATGCAAATTAAAGGGTGCATAAAACACAACATACTTGAATAAAACAAAATATAGATGAATTGTTGTATAACAAACCAATTTTTTTAAAGGGAAAAAACAAAAAAGGACTACCAAGAGTTCAATTATTTTCTACTTGAGGCCTTTACTAGTTCACTTCTCATCCCATTCTTGTAGTATCATTTTTAACTTGTAATACTATCAGGATACAAGTATGCTATAATATATGCCAATAAACAAAATTCTTGACCCACATTCCCTTGCATTATATAATGGTTAACTTTAAGAAAGAAGTTTTGAAAAATTTATTTTATACTTTCTAAAATTGCTTTCTACACATTCTCTCTTATACCTATGCTAATTTACTCAGGCTTCCTTCTACCCTATTGTTGTTACTTGCTGTCTAGTCACCTGCAGCTCATAGTGAGCCTATGTAAAATAACTCTGAATGCTGCCCTATCCTGAGCCAGTCTCACTGACTCTGACACATCCAATTGTATGCCCCCAGGTGTCATGTCCATCTATTTTATTTGGGGTCTTCCTCTAATGTACTGTCCCTCTATACTTCCAAACATGATGTCCTTCTCCAAGGATTGATCCCTCTTGGCAGCATGCCCAAAATATGTGAGACAGAGCTTCAAAATCTCTGTCTCCCAGGAGCAGTTTGGTTTCACTTTCTC